TATTTGTTATTTACGTAAAAAGCAGACATGTTTTTAAAATTATAAGGAAACAAAGTTATATTGTCTTATTTTCTTAAAATCCTTAAAACAACGGATCCAGTCGTGATCACAATAAAGTCAACTGAATTTCTGCATAAGGTTTAGATCTGTTATAACAAAAATGGAAAACTGAATTCCATGACTGTACATAAGCTTCAACATTAGCAAACATGTCCATATGCTGGAAAGCTGCTGCTTCTTTCTGTGAAGTGTCACTCCTTTGTTTTCAGTAACCAGTTCCTCAGAGATATTTAGCAGCCTATTTTCACTTACATGAAACTCATCAGTGTATTCTTGCCAAATAAATTACACAGTTAACAATTTCAAGCAGCAGAAAAAGCATATTATAGGACTGTACCTTGCTCTGGTAAACCTTAATTTCTTCATATGTGTGGGTTTGCCATGCTAGCTGATGTAATTCTTCCATTGTATATTGACATGTCTCCAAATGAGATTTAATGATATTCTGTGCAATTCGATCTGTGAAGAGGAGAATAAAACACAGTGAACAGTGATTTGCAACAGCAAAATGTTGAAAACATTGAAATTGTTGGAAAATGCACATTAACAGAATTAATCTTTTCTTTCCAATGCTACCTTTCTCTTATTTTTTTTATTTATGAAGATGATTATTGCAAAATGTTTCAGTATGCCAAGTCAAATGATCTTGATAAACAGTGGATCTGTACATAGTGGATCATCATAGTAAATGATACCTGTTAAACTATACAGAATCTTCATTCTGAAGGTGATTTTTAAGGAGTTTAAATAAATGTCAATTGGACATTTTTTTTTCCATTTGGTTACCCAATCACTTTTGTCTGCCTCATGCCTGTGCAGTAACTGGTAGACTCTTCTAGGCTGGAGAAGATGAAGAACACAGCTGTTGATTATCACCTCAGCAGGGTACCTTCACAGGCTTGAGGCCACAGCCTCAAGGCAATATCTCTCCTCCTACTGTGTGTAGATGTTTGCTTGCTTTCTTCATTGTCAGTTTCTTTCTAGTTCTTCTAAAAGAATTAATCTGTTGAAGTCAGTGGTCAGCAACTTTCAGAGCTGCTAGGTCTCACAGAAATTGACTGACTGCTCAAACCTGACAGAGACATTTGCATTACCTTGGGCAGACTCATAAAGAAACAGGAAACAGGTATCTTTCTTCTCAAGTTAATTTTCTAATTTAGTCTGATGAGCAAGAATATGGAGACTGGTTTTAGCAATGGGTGAAAGCTAAAACTAGTATCTTGGGATTTAGAAGGAGAGATAGGGAACACAGATGTCACATACAACACTAAGTTACCTTAAAGTTATCCTGAAATAGCAGCCTTAGAAACTACTTCACAACACGAAATGCAAGACGCAAGCAGAAAGGGAAGCATTCAGTGCTGCCCTGGAAACCCACCGAAACTAGGCGTAAACTTCTTAGAGAAGTATTTTAAAGCAGACCTTTGCCCTTTAAGCTACTTGAGTCGCTTAAAAAGATTTTCACAAAAACTTCCAGCATGAATTCATTAACACTGGAAGTTGAAATGTCTTGATAAAACATGTTATAGAAAACTGATGATTTCCTTTTTTGTGACTTTGAAACCTCAGTGCTTCAGCCTGAAGACATCACTTAAGCCAAACAACTTTCAAACAAAGGAAAAAAGGCAAAGGCACAGAAGTGAACTGAAGCGCTTGTGGCAGAATCAGCATTGCACAGAAAACATTTGTCAAAAAGGGAAAGGACATTGGCAATGTATTAGCCAGACCTGAGCATGGGATGTAGAAAGAACTAAGTATGTCATCATTTACTTGTTCACATCCTCAACAGTTTGCACAGAGTTTATGGACCTGGAGCTTAGAGTTCCAAAATAAGACTGTCTCTTTGGACAAATATTGACTGAATTTAAAAATGCCAGCAAGAAGGAAAGCTGAAGAAAGAATGTAAACATGTATATGCTCTCTGTAAACACTGCTATAGGAGTGTTATTTAAAGGACACGTGTCTGTAGTACTGTCACGGTTAATAAGCTGAGACTCAGTGGAAAGGCAGTGAAGAAAACATAAATGAGTTGCAGATTTGTATAGAAAAATAAAACCTGCTCAATTGAATCTGTACAGGTATCCCTTTAAAGGTCAACACTATATTTAGGTTTCCTGATGGAAGAATTGGCTCAGGCATAAAGACAACCAAGAGCGTATATTAGTAAGTACAGTGACCTACCCACTGTTCTTTTATGGAAGGTTGAATGCAACTCTTAATCCACGATAATAAACTGTTGCATTTCATAATAAAAATCTTAGAGATAAATGGGCATCTTGGAATAAAAGGATGATGATTTTAAACAATTTTTTTACAAGATCTTTAACCAAGAAAAGCAAGCAAAACCTACCTTTTTTAGAAGATCAAAGTTCAGAACTTTGCCCCCAGATTGTTCTATTTACAGTTTTAACTACATTATCTTTTTGGGAACATCCTTAGCTATTGTAAACCCCATTGCAGAAGTTCAACTCAAGCTATATTTTTTTGTCAATTATGTTCCTGGAAGGATTTAACTGGAGAGAACTGAGATATGGTCAGAGGAACATTTAGGCCTTGTATCTAAAAAAACAGCGCAGGAGCATGATTTCAACTTGCATTACAATTCTGCAGTCTCAAGGGTGAAGGATTTTTGCTCTCTGCAGCCACTGTCTGGTCTTCTTCTCTCTTGTGCTTCTAAGCCCAGCTCTCCTAGCTTCACAATTTGTTACACAAGCTACAATTTGTCAAGCTATTCACACTCTTGGCATAGAGAAAACGCTTACAGTAAATGTCTCACATAATTTCATATTATTGCATAGACAGATTTTGAATCAGATAAGGTGACCTATGCCAACAATTTGAAAACAAGACCTTTTGATTTCACTGACTTCAAAATATACTTTATTAGAAGGTCTCCATTACTGCAAAGCTCCTCAGCTCCATTCCTTTTCCCACCATTTATGTATTTACCTTAGGAAAGAAGAGTTCAGAAACTCTTCAGGGTTTTGTAGAATGGCATTCTGTGTTTACCCCTATACATCTTTTCCTTATGTACTTGTGCTTATGTTGATCTGACATTAAAACCCAATTAGATGTGCAAAGGCCTGGGGCAATCGCAGCAAGCAGTAGCTCTGAATGTTGACATACAAAGAGGAATCAGGTGCAAGACAGACTTGAAACTCTTGTGCCACAGGCTAAACAATGTTGAGTGTGTGATGAAAAGGGTACACTGGGTCTGAGAGGAGGAGGGAACTGCTCATTCAGCATAAGCAGCAGAGGAGCCTGCTTGCTTACACTCCGTGCTGAAGTCTCTGGAAGGAGCTTTATGCAAATACAGCATACACTTGGTGGCAGAGCTGGCATGATTCAAAAAGTAAAAGAAGTATAAGCTTGTCTTGGCTTCTCAGATGGTCCAGCAACAGAAGATCCAAAGCAAGCAGAGCCAAGAACATCACTCTCAAAGTGTTTCACAGACCATAGATGTCTTTTTTTTCTCACATTTCCAGATTTTAGCATTGTTTTGCCAATGAAGTACACATCTTGGAAAATTCCATGCAGAACGACATTCCTAAACCACTGGGAATAATGTACTGACATGTAATGTAAACCTGTCCTGTCACAGGAACTGTGCTCTACCCAAAATATGATAAGTTTCTGTGAGACCTAGCAGCTCTGAAAGTTGCTGACCATTGACTTCAACAGATTAATTCTTTTAGTGGAACTAGAAAGAAATGGACAATGAAGAAAGCAAGCAAACATCTACACACAGTGGGAGGAGAGAGAGTGCCTGGATGCAGTGGCTGTGGCCTCAAGCCTGTGAAGGTACCCTGCTGGGTTGATAATCAACATCTATGTGTGACCTCTTTTCCAGGCTAGAAGAGTCTACTACAGTTACTTCACATATCACTCTTGACTTTTAGTTTATTTTGCTTTCAAAAATCTTAGGCCGGAGATTTCAAAGGTTCCCTTTCACTGGGAAACTGCATGTACACAACTAGCAATCCTGTTTGGATGGGCTGCAAGGACTACAAAAGGCAATTCCATTTTTGTGACCTCAATATGAACAGCATTTCTCCTTGAAATGCTGTCAGCTTCCATCTTACATAAGCTGAAGTAGGCTTGCAAGGTTTGCTGTATGAAAAGGAAAACAAAAGAGATGATTCTGACCACAGAAGTGTGAGAATCAAAGTCAGCAACATTTTATTTTCTAGGCACCAACTGCTGCAACTATTGAGTGAAAATTAATAATTCCAAAGGAAAGAATTCCTGAGCCTGCATGACAGTACACCACTAGCATTATAATAACTGTAGCCTGTAAACTGCAGAATTTGTAAAGCTTATCTGACACAACATGAAAACAATGTTGATTAGCTGCTTTACTCCTCCCCTTTTGCCTACATTTATTACATTAGGGCTAAATCTCCTACCATTCATCATGATCACTTAATATTAAATGATAACAGGGAATCTGAAAGTCACACCACATCCTGGCAGATTAACTCTTTCTGGGAAACATGGTCCACAGAAAATAATGCTCCCAGTGTCCAAACTCTGGCATACACTAGGACATGAAAGCATTTGCATTAGGTAGATTGGCTCTAAATTTGAAGATTTCTTAGTATTGGTACCTTGAAATTTTTCTTAGAAAGCAGGCACTTTTCGTACAAATGCTATGCTTCATTAAAAATAAAATCTAGAAGAAAAGTATTTGCTTCCAGAGAGATAAACCAGAAATAACTTACTCAATCAAGAAAACAGTCAGTAGTTGTAACCAATATGAGGTCTTGAAAAATCAGAAACACTCAAACAAAATGCATCATGGAATAACCACAGAATCACAGAATCACCTAGGTTGTAATAGAACTCTGAGATCACTAAGTCCAACCTTTGACCTAACACCACCTTGTCAACTACACCATGGCAGTAAGTGCCACATCCATCTCTTCTTAAATACCTCCAGGGACAATGTCTTCACCACCTCCCTGGGCAGCCCGTATATTTCTACAAAGAACTTCTTCCTAATGTGTAACCTAAACTTCCCCTGATGTAGCTTTAGACTGTACCGTCTTGTTCTGTTGCTGGTTGCTTGGGAGAAGAGACTGATACCCACCTGGCTACACTCTCAGGTAGTTGTAGAGAGCAATAAGGTCTCCTCTGAGCCTTCTCCTCTCCGGGCTAAACAACCCCAGCTCCCTCAGCCTCTCCTCATAGGACTTGTGCTCCAGACCCTTCACCAGCTTCATTGCTCTTCTCTGGACCTGCTCCAGCACCTCAATATCCTTCCTGAATTGAGGGGCCCAGAACTGAACATGATACTTGAGGTGTGGCCTTACCAGTGCTGAGTACAGAGGAAGAATCACTTCCCTAGTCCTGCTGGCCACACTGTTCCTGATCCAGGCCAGGATGCCATTGGCTGCCTTGGCCACCTGGGCACACGCTGGCTCATGTTCAGCCTTCTGTCCGTAGCCTGTAGCGCTGCA